GTTGTTATATTCCTAAGCATTGCATCATCATTTCATGCATGTAGATCACGAGCTGGTAGACTTCGTGCCCGTTGTCGAGCCGGAGTACGACGAGGTGATCGAGGAGTACGAGGAGGAGATCTTCGCACAGGAGGAAGCCCAGGAGCCTGTTGGTGCTGACTTTTGCTGACCCCGAAGACTGCTCAAGGCAAGCCCGGTGCATAACCCCTATTTTTAAATGATCTTTGAATATATTTATATGATATGCATTTACGTTCTGGGCATTTTATGGAAACTACATGCATAGATATATTCACCATGAGACCTACTAGTGTAGGTCGAGTAGTCGCTATGCTCGGGGATGTCGGTAGCGTGAGTAACCCGCCGTTACTCGCAAATAGGTGATTACACTATGATATCATGATGAAATAATGGAAAGGAAAAATGGTGACCGGACGAGGGATGTGGATTTGGTATGCTGGTGGGTGTGAGGGGTTGTGTCCTCGCGCCAGCAGTGGCATAGCTCAGTTACACTTTTTTTCCCCGCTCTGTGTCGATTAAGGACCGGTCGTTGCATATGACTCTAGGCAAGTCACAGACTATTATCCCGAGCACATACTTGGGTATGGGCGCAGGGAAGACTTGCTGCTCTCTTGTCGCGGATCCGGCTCTTTCCGGACCGATCGATGGGAAGAGGAGGTGGTGGAGGTCCTTGCGCCGCAGACCGAGTCCGGATTCAGAGGCGGGGCTTGAGTCCAAGTTTGACGGGGACCGGACACCCGGGGACAGAGAGTGGTGGGTTAGTCTGCTTGTGCAGGGTACAAGCGGGGGCGTAGGTCTTCGGGCACCCAGTGGGTACATTGATTCGTGAATCGCCGGGTTATCCGGTACGGCTTGTCTGCGGTTTAGCACCGTAGTAAGAACTGGAAGTGAAAAAGGAGAAGGAACAATATCGATTGCTCAACCCTTGCTTGAAAGTAGAACAGGTGCTTATATACATTGACTAGATGAAAACTTAATCCGGCTGATGATAATAATGTATCAATAAGGACTCACTATTAGTATTGCTTTTTGCTAAAAGAGAACCAGCAACCATAAAGCCTAGCATATTCCTTGGAGTCGGGAAAGTATTCCCACTGATCGGATAAGTCTTGCGAGTACATTGTGTATTCAGGGTTTATTTACCCCTGTTGCAGGTGATGCTTGAGGAGTTCCTTGTGTGGAGGATCCATCTGGTGGGCTCAGACGGAATCCTCGTTATCTTATCGCTAGATGTTATCTTTTAATATTCCGCTGTTTATCATTCCGCACTCTGTATTTGGTATTGTAATAATGTACTTTTAAGAAACTCTAATGTATGAGATGGACTTGTGTTGTAACTCGTTTTCATTATTGGATCCTTGGGAAAAATGTGGATCTTTCGGGTTCTCCCTCGGGGTGTGCCCGACGGATACCGCTCGTTGTAGTTGCTTTCGGGGTGCTTAGTGTCTGGTGGAAGACGAGCGCCTTCGTAAGTACGCTATTCCGGGTGGTTCTGCCACAACTTGTTGCTACTCTTATACTAAAATTGTGACAACTAAAAGCTGAATGATGTTAAACCTGTGTCAAGCCTTTTGAGCCTCATTAACCCCATGTTACACTTGTTGAGTACGACACGTACTTATGCTTGTTTATTTTCATTATTTGGATAAAAATCCCGGATGGGTAACAGATGGATATGGTAATGATGACTTTCCTGAGGAATACTAGACTTGTGGTCAACCAGTTGACGTCCCTGTGATATGGAGCTTCCATGAGAGATTAATCGTTATACTTCCGCTATAATTATGTGAAGACTATGTCTTATTATTCGTGATGTAATAAACACTTGTGATGATACTATTTATAATTTACCGGCTTATGTGTGTGACTGATCTCTAGACGCACATAAGATTATGCATCCCATTTTATCCTTAAAATCGGGTGTGACAGTGGTGGCTCGGAGGCATGGGGGAACTGCCCGAGTCACCCTATTCGGACGACGTGGGGGACAGTGTTTTCTATCTGTCTCCCACTTATATCAATAGCCCTAGGCATTCGGGTAACCCAAAAATTATAGATTCGGATCGGGTAGTTTGGGTAGTTTCAAATTCGAGTAATAGAAATCAATACCCGATATTCGCCCCGAAAAAATACTACCCGATATTTCAAGAACCGGATAATTTAGGTTCGGTTTTGGGTATATATACCCAATCTACCTGAGATTCAGAGATTCAGAAAAATCAACATGTGTACAGTGGTGGTGCTGGTGTCGTCCTCAGCCCCACGTCCCTCGATCTGCCCCGCGCGCTCCTTGTCGTCCCTCGATTTGCTGATGTGGTGGTACCGGCGTCGGGGTCCAGGTGCGCGCGCCGCCTAGCCGCTCGCGAAATAGCGTGGTCAGGCCAGGGCCCCTGTGGCCGCTTGGGAGGTCGACGTCGCAAGCTGGACCTCTAGAGAATGGAGGTCTTGACGAGGAGTCCAGTAGAGGGCTCGTTCAATGGCTTAAGGCAGAGGCGCAGAGCCGCGCCGCCACCCGCTAGGACGCTGCGACTTCACATTTGTTTGTCGAGGACTCGAGGTCTCTCTCTCTCTCTCTTGGCCCCTTGGGGATCCTTTGTGCTGGGATGGGGCATTGGGCTCTCCTCTGTTGGGCTGAATGGAGTAGACTGAGTTCAGGGCTGCTAGACGTTCCTGTAGATATTGTAAGGAAAATGGACCCTTGGCCCATTTACTTTAGATTTTGGTGTTTGATGACCAACACAACCAAATTGGACTAATGAATTTGCAAGTGATTGTTTTGTAGTTCAATAGGATGCAAGATGTGACTTGGACGAAGGTGACGTGATGATCTGATAATCAACACCATAAGCAAGACCTTAGAAGCACAAGAGAAGACCCAAGATATCAAGCAAAGTCCAAGCACGAAGATAGGAACCAAGACGTACGAAAGATCGCGAAGAAACGAGCTCACAGAGGTGACCGGACACTGGACCGGACGCTCCGATCAAGAGGCTCGGCAACAGGCATGACCGGACGCTGGACCGGACGCTGGCGGCAGATCGACCGGACGCAGGACAGCAGAGTCCGGTCGAGTATAGAGAGGTTCCAGAGCGGCGAAAATGCGACCGGACACGTCCGGTGGCATGTGACCGGACGCTGGCAGCGTCCGATTAGTGGATCGTGGCTCCAACGGTCGGGATGACCGGACGTCCGGTCAGGACGTGATCAGCATCCGATCAGTAGCAGAAAAGCGGGATTTCATCCCCAACGGCTACTTTCTCAGTGGGGCTTATAAATAGACCCCCCAACCGGTCATTTGAGGGTGGTGGAGCTGAAGAAACATATCAAGGGTGTTGATACACCATTTTAGTGATCTCCACTTGAACAGTGCTTAGTGATTCATTAGGTGATTAGCATAGGTGCTTTTGCGAAGTGCTTAGGTTGATTAGACCACCACTTATGTGCTTACTCTAGGTTTAGGCCTAGTGTTTAGTGAGGTTTGCATACCTCTTACCACTCGGTGCTTGCGCACACCATTGTTGTACATCAGAGGGGCTTGTAGTCTTGCGAGATCACACCAACTGTGTTTGTGGTGTTGCCGCCACCGTGTACCAGAGGGAACAAGGCCCGTGGCGTTTCGGCCGGAAGCTTTATAGTGAAGACGGCGGGCAGCATCCGGGAGAGGCTTACCGGAAGGCACGTCGAAGACCCACTTGTGCATGGGGAAGGCCCGAGGCTATCCACGGAGTTACCCGACCGGGAGCTTGGCCCTTGCGAGGGATTCCTTGCGAGGGGCTCCAACGAGGACTAGGGGGAAGCTTGCGCGCTTCTCGATACCTTAGTAAAAATACCAGAGTCATTGACGGGAGTTTGCATATCTCTACCTTGCTCTTTAGCTTCCGCATTTACATTGATTGTATCACTCCTTTTGCGGTAGAGATAGCAACACATTAGCAAAACCGCAGTTGCACATTTAGATAGTTTATCTTTTGCATAGGTTTTGCCAAGGTTAGAAAAGGAGGCCATAGTTTAGAGTTAGAATTTTAAGTTGCCTAATTCACCCCCCGTCTTAGGCGTCACGGTCCCCTTCAGATATCGGGTATGTTGGATAATTCGGGTACCGCGACTTGTTACCCAAACTACCCGAATTAATTTCGGGTATCTTAAGTTAACATCCGAACTACATGAAATAATTTTGGGTCCGGCTCCGGGTAATTTGGGTTCGGGTAATGGGTATCGATTATTTTGCTCAGGCTTTATCAAGGGAAGAATTGCACCAATTATGAAGCTATGGGGCAACGTCTACAAGAAGTAACACGAAACCTGGCCCAAGATGATAGCATGCGGTTGTAGTGAACATCAGATGGAAATTTACTCAACTAAAAGTGCATACCTTGTATAATTTAGTGGTATCTACATGAAATAAAATTTATGTCAAATTTGGAGAGCAAAAGCAGAACCAAGATGTAGGTTTTTGGCATGGACATTGATGCACTGGAAACTTTTGACGACAAATAAGCTCCATAAGCATGGATGGCCTAATGACCTAATTTGCAAGCTCTGCACATCACAATCGGAAACCCCCACTACTACAATAATCATTTGTAGGGGCGGCTAAAGATCGTTTGTAGAGGCGGCTCAGCCAGCCGCCCCTACCATACCATCTCTACAAATCATGCATTTGTAGGGGCGGTTCCCAAACCACCCTTACAAATCAATTTATAGAGGCGGCTGGTGTTATCAGCCGCCCCTACAAATCGATTTGTAGGGGCGGCTGATAACACCAGCGGTCTCTACAAATCGATTTGTAGGGGCGGCTACAGTACCAACCGCCCCTACAGTACATTTTTCCGCAAAAAAAATCAAATTTACAATTCAAATTCGACCAGAACATATATTTTTCATGCACAACTCCATCATGACTTATCTTCTTCTGCGATTGTATTGAAACTCAAATCTCTACAACATGAGTATTGGTCCAACTACAATGAACATATTACTTAATGCTGACTTGTTAGATGAGGAACTCTACAACATGAGTATTGGTCCGACTGACCATAAAATGCTATCATGCTTCCTAGATAGCTAAAGATGTTAACAGCTAAACAACAATGCAAAGAATCATATGCCAAGTCCCCATACTCGCATATTGCAAGAGTCTTCATAACAACAAGATCGTAGTTGTCCAGGTAGGGCACAAAAACAATGTCCCCAAAAAATTCAGCTTCCTTCTTCAGCTCCACATTCACTTCCTTTCTGCCATGCTAGAGTTAAGAAACACCTTCAGCACAAGCACACAAAACAAATGAAGTAAGCTAAGCATTTGGGATTACATTGAAGTGTTTACCAGTGCAACAAAAAAACGAGCCACCCTGTTTGGTGGCTTGAGGACAGCAGACATCCATGTCTTCCTCACACCCATACGCTCAGCAAAATGATTGGCTGATGACAGGATGCCAATGAAAATCTCAACTGGCTCATCAGGCCTGTAGCATCCTCCAGCACAAACCCCTGCAAGGGCCACAACAAACATAAATTAACTAGACAAGTAGAGGCCAAGTACCGTACCGATAATCTCAACTGTCCCCAACCACTAATTATTTGAACTAACTGCAATAGATAGTGCACGGCAATTAACAAGCATTCCCCAACATTTCTTACTGCATGAAGTGGGGAAACATATGCACTTACAGTGCGGTAAGGAAACGAAGTGAAATTACAATAGGAATCAGATCCTATGATAAACAGACCACTGAGTTGTGCATTCTCAGCTGGCACAACGGTCAGAGATTACCTCTATTATCTAAAAATAGGTCACTCTTGGTCATGGTAGGAGCCAAATTATCTTTGGTAGGCACGACAGAGAGCACTTATGAATATATAAAACTAGGCAACTAGCCTACAAGTTAATTTAATATCATGCACCAGATCGTCAAGGCCAACCTAATTTCATAGGCAGTGTAGTTGTTTTCTTTTGGATGGCATGAAGAAATCATTGTCATTCAATGGGGTCAACACGCACATGCACATGATCGGAAATGTCCTTGTTCGGCAAAACTAAGATTTGGCAAAATTAATCTGATCGGAAATCACCTAAATGCACCAGATTTGGCACGCATGCCATGCTGAAACCCTTAATTCCAACTAACATGAAGCGGCAAGCAAAACCATTCTAGCATCTGTTCTAATCTGACAATACTGAAACTAGTCTGAAAGAATGAGTAGGAGGAGTTTCAGGTCCAGGGTATATAGATTAAAAATTTTCAATTTTTCACCACTTGTTTGATCATAGTAGATATCAGATGAAGTGAAAGAGATATACAAGCAAAAGCTGAAACACTACCTAGAATCTTCCCTTCAACTATTGCAAGACTGAACACCAATCAAATTGGGAGATTCCTGATTGCAGGAAGACAGAAGCAAAACGCCAACTACGGAATTTACAAACAGACCCTACTAACAGTACATGAATGAATAGGACGATGTTTTTACAAGACCTAGACCCTACTGTGATATATCAGTAGCTGCAATACTCATTAGAGGTTGACAAACCAAACCATGTAACCTTAATCACAACAATTTATGTAGAGTTCATTCATGCAAGTACAAAGTAAACAAAGTTAGCCCACAGAGGAGATCATCATGTTGTACCAAGGTGTTGAGATGTTGTTCATTTAAATAAGTAATCCATCATTTGTTCTTTACACAACCTTTTTCTTGAGTTTATTATTATACATATATGCTTTTGCATGATAAATAAATGCTGTGAAGTATTCAAAGTAAAAAGGATGAACTGTTAAAACTAACATATTTCTGGGGTTTGGCATGAACTGTTAAAACTAACAGCAAGCTAAATAATAGCAGTATAGATCAATAGGTGAAAGTACAAGAGAAAGCAATCCAGTTTGATTGGCAAGCCTGTATTATTTGGAACTCATTACAACAACACGTGAAATAATAGCAGTATAGATTTATACACTTAAAATTGGTAAGCATAATACATTTATACACTTAAAACTTGCAATTAGATCAGATCCAATTACAGATAGCCAAATAGCTTAGTCGGACGGCATACCAGGGTGCTCCTGCTCGACTCGGTCGAATGCGCTGGGTGTTGGACGACAGTGCCGCCTGGACGAGCGACCGGCCACGGGTGTCCACGGCAAGCGCTGCTCAGGTGAGCTCCCACGGCACTAAAGCGCTCGGCGCTCGTAGTATTGCCTCCCCGCGACCCGCATCGAGCTCATCCTCGCCACCGCACCCGCTTGCCAGATACAGGCTCGTCCTCGCCGGATCAGGCTTCTCCTCGCTGGATCTGGTGGTGGTCACTCGGATCTGGGCTGGTCCTCACCGGATCGAGCTCATCCTTGCCGGATCTGGTGGTGGCCGCCACCATGTGCTTCATGCGGCCTCCAGCAGCGCGCCGGAGGAGAGAAGGTGAAGGGGACCGCGCCACCAAGTCCCGCCACCGCTGGAGCTCGACGGGAGGCCGCGCCACCGAGCCACGGCACCGAGCTCCACCACCATGCCTCCGCTGGGGGGAGGGGACAGGGTCCCGCGCGCCGCCGGCGCAGGAGGAGGGGGACGGGCCCCCGCGCGACTGTCGGCGATGGAGGAGGGCACCGAGCCCTGCGCGACCGCCGGGAGGCCACGCCCCAGAACCCCCGCCACCCTAGGGTGCGCCGCCGAGTGCCGCCGCGCGGAGAAGAGAGGGGTGCGACGCCGTGCGCCTCCGCTAGAGAGGGAGGTCCCGTCACCACGTGGGGGAGAGGGAGGGGCGGTGTGGGGGAGAGACGGAGGGGCTTGGAGGAGAGGGAGAGCGAGGGAGAGAGAGAGGGAGTCGAGATGGAGAGAGAGAGAGAGAGGAGGGCAGTAGATATTTTGGATGGATGACTTAGTGACTGTACGTGGGACATTTGTAGGAGCGGCTCAATCACCAGCCGCCCCTACAAATAGAAACATCGGGGGCGGCTGGTGAGTGAGCCACCCCTACAAATCCAACCCATTTATAAGGGCGACTCGTATCACTAGCCGCCCCTGTTGTTTCATTTGTAGGGGCGGCTGGTCTCTGGATCCCGAGCACGTCACTATAGGGGCGGCTCCATCACCAGCCGCTCCTAAAAAAAATTGTCCCGTTGCTACAAACCATTTTTCACGTAGTGCCCTAAACAACTTTTTTTTTGTAAAGCTTGCTCTTTCACCAAACAAGTCTGGGCAACCATCCTACCTTAGGGCCTCTTTGGCACGGCTTATGTCGGCTTCGGCTTCATCTATTTTGCGCAAATCGAGGCACTGTAGCGTGAAGCCGTTTTGTAAGTCGGGGTTAAAATGAACTAGAAGCCGGGAAAAGCCAGTTTTTCTGGCTTCACCGGCTTTGACTTCACCGGTAAAGTCATTTTGGATGAGCCGTGCCAAAGGAGGCTTTAGTTTGGTCTTCACCATCTTCTGAGTCATGACATCTCAGGTCCATTTACAAATGTTGGAGGACGGCAAGACGGACAACCTACAAAGAAGAGGGGCAAGAATTCAATGGATTAATGGTCCAATTTTTTTTTTTTTTTGAAAGGGATTAATGGTCCACTTTTGGTGGAACATTTGGAAAGAGCGTGACCAACGAATCTTTCAACATTCAACCATGCAACCCTCTGGCATTCACTACCAACGAAGATGTACAACAATACAAGCTAGCTTTCACGCAGGACACGCTAACTTAACGGTGCAAAGTCCTATGGCTTTGGGTTTCAGGTGGTAGCGGTTTTCAAGAAAATTATTTTCCTAGAACTATAAGCCTTGGTGGACGGTGTCTGCTGGGAGCGCCCCTATATTAGCGGTAACCTCTTTTGCTCTCTTTTTTTCTTGTTTTCTTTCCTCGTCTTGGTGTGTGTGGGGTGTGTTCTTGTTTCGAATTTCTCTCTTTTCCTGGAGTTGTTGTTTTTCTTTTAGTGAGTTTAGAGTGGTTTTGCGGGGGACACTGCAGTGGTAACGGCCCCTTCCCTCATTGGTTCCTGTAATTATTTTTGTCTTGTTTTTTCTTTTAAATCGTCTAATAAAAATTCGGCAAAACTTTTGCCGCCTTTCTAAAAAAACTCTTGCTCGAGATTTCGAGAGAAAATTCTAAATACATTATTTCTACTATATATATATATCTAAATAGCATAGTACATATACATCCAGATGAATCTATACGATACAACCGTCAACTATGACTATGAGACATAGATCATGTATGTATGTATGTATGTATCCATGGCCTGGCACAACGGGAAACCCAAGATTTGCCGAGTGCCCAGGAGTTTGCCGAGTGTCAAAAATCGGGCACTCGGCAAACATACATTTTGCCCAGTGCCACACTCGGCAACATACGACACTCGGCAAACAAGCTTCTGCCGAGTGCCCGGCTCTCGGCAAAATACAGGCACTCGGCAAATCTTAATTTGCCGAGTGTCAGACCCTCGGCAAACTAGAGCACTCGGCAAATATTGTTAGAGGCATAACGGCACCCAATGCCGTCAACTTTGCCGAGTGCTAGGCGTTAGGCACTCGGCAAATAATTAAGTTTGCCGAGTGGCAGGGATTGGCACTCGGCAAACTATTTTTTTTTTATTTTGGTCACCAATTTTTTTTGGTAGCCCTACAACAGTACCAAGAACCACATATTCAAATTTGGCACATTTTGACTGATTTTTTCTATATTTCATTAGTTTATTCCATTTTGTTGATTTTTTCGAAAAATGCGAGTTTGAACTACAGGTGCATCGAATATTGGATTTGAATGATTCGAAAAATAACATTCATGTTTGTGAGTGTAAGTTTAGGCCAAATCCAGGAACTGACCCAAAATTTCTATCAACTTGCTGGTTTGTAAGCATGGTACGTGACAACATGCTCGAAACTTTCTCAAATTTTTACCACAGCCTACGCATACGATAACACGGCATCTCCACAAGTTTCATGTTTTTTCGATTTCGTTTGCATTTTATGGAATTAAAAAACAACTCGCACGCAATTTGGTGGCGTTGCCCCGTGAGCAAGTTGATAGAAATTTTGGGTCAGTTCTTGGTGGCCAAAATAAAAAAAAATAGTTTGCCGAGTGCCAATCCCTGGCACTCGGCAAACTTAATTATTTGCCGAGTGCCTAACGCCCGGCACTCGGCAAAGATTTTGAAATAAAAAAAAATGGGAATCTTCTTTGCCGAGTGTCGTAGATCTTGGCACTCGGCAAAGCTGTCGTGGGTTAAAAAAAATACATCGGCCTTATCTCCCTCCACAGACACACTCACACACACATTCTCGCACAGCGCCGCCGCCGCCGCCGAATCTCTCCGCCGCCACCGCCGTCGACGTTGGCCCGCACGCGCCGCCGGATCCGCGCTCCCTGCCGGCCGCTGCTCCATCAAGGCGGCTTGCAATGGGCCCGTCGCCTGCAACCACCCACCGCGCGCCCGCCGGCTGTGGGCCAGCGCGCCACGGATCAGGCTCTCGCCACATGCTGCCCTGCTCACGCACAGACGCAGCCTGCCCACTGCCGCCCCCACGAGCCGCCTGCAGCCGCCACGTGGGCCCAGACGGCCGGGCCGCGCTGGCTAAATCCTGGCGCCGTAGAAGCAAGAGGAGGAAGGAAGAGGAGGGAGGAAGAGAGAAGGGGAGAAGGAAGGAAGGGGAGAAGGGGAGAAGGAAGAGGAGGGAGGAAGAGAGAAGGGGAGAAGGAAGAAAGGGAAGAAGGGAAGAGAAGGAGGAGCCCGGCCGGGAAGAGAAGGGAAGGAAGGGAGAAGGGAAGGAAGGGAGAAGGGAGAAGGAAGAGGGAAGAGGAGGAGAGAGGAGGAGAGGG